ATCCCTTTCGCATTCCATGTTTCCTCCCCTGCTCCTGAAATTTTGCGTTGTCCTTGTGATCCTTCTGATTGTTTAACTTCTTTGATTTTTTTCCCCCGATTTGATCTGTTACTCCCCCGCGGCCGGCGTGGTTATCGGTGACGATTTTATCTTGCTGATCAAAATTTGATCTTTTTCAGTCTGTTCCCTCCCACCTGGGCATATGTGACGCTTTGATCCATGGCGAGTAGGAGAGGACGAATCCGGTTCAACGTGGGTGGGAAGATCTTCGAGACGACCGCCACCACCCTCGCCAACGCCGGTCGCCATTCGATGCTCGGTGCTCTCCTCGACGACTCCTGGAACCCCCGGCAGCCCGTTGAGGGGGAGGCCGCGGATGCCGAGTACTTCATCGACCGCAACCCGGCATGCTTCGCCGTGCTTCTCGACCTCCTCCGCACCGGCGAGCTCCACGTCCCGCCCAACATGCCGGAGAAGCTCCTCAACCGCGAGGCCCTCTTCTACGGCCTACTCGACCAAGTCCGCGCCGCCCGGTGGGGCCCGTTCGACGGTAACCGCCTCCAGCTGGTGGACTCCGTCTCTGGTCGCGCCCCCGGCGACGGCACGGCCATCCGCGCCGGCCCGGATGGCGGCTGCTGCGTCGCCCACGGCAGCATGGTCCACGTCTACGACTGGATGCTCGAGGAGCACCGTCCCATCAGCCTCGACTACCAGCAGGTCAACGACGTCGGCTACATCGACGCCGAGAGCATCGTGATCAGCGCCCGCGAGCGGCTGGGGAAGGGCGACGGCGGGATGGGCGTGTTCTCCTCTTCTACGGGGGAGCTGCGGCATCGGTTCAGGGTGTCCCACGACAACCAAGTCAAGAGCTTCACCGCTGGCGCTCTCAGCTTGGGTAGCTCGGACTACAAGATTTTTGCCAGTTGCAAGGGGAGGTGCAACGAGTACGGGATCGGAGTGTGGGATCAGATCACCGGGCAGCAGGTGGACTTCTTCTACGAGCCACCCGGTTGCTCTCTCGGCGACGCCGATAAGCTCCAATGGCTCGACGGCGACAAGTGCTTGATGGTGGCCACATTGTTCCCAAGAACAGACAACTGTTTCATCGGCCTGTTGGACTTCAGAGACAAGAGCGTGAACTGGTCCTGGTCTGATGCAGGGACCTCTGTTTCCTTGTCGCTCGATGAGAAACGAGTCCTCCACGCAATCGCCATAGAAGATAGCCGATCTATCTGCGTGGTCAACCAGTACGACGACTTGGGGTTCATTGATCTGAGGAGCAATGCAGGGGGTGTGCGATGGAGCTCAAGAAGCAAACTCACGAACAGGAAGGCTCCTAACGAAGAGAGCTGCTACCCGAAGCTCGCGACGCACAACGGGCAGCTCTTCTCGTCAATGAACGACGGCATCTCGGTGTTCTGCGGCCCGGAGTGGGTGCTGACCTCGACACTGAGGAGGAGCTACGGTGGTTCTATCTGCGATTTCTCGATCGGAGGCGATCGATTGTTTGCACTACACAGCGAGGAGAATGTGTTCGACGTTTGGGAGACACCACCCTCTCTCACCATTTAACCGTTCTTCCAATTACTCATTAGTCAGTAAGAAAGAAGAAAAGAGTGGTGATGATGGTGCTTCCTTTCTTTTGTTTCCTCATCGATCTAAAGATATGATTTACGAATTTGTGGGTTCATAGCTTGCAGAGAATGGCTGCTTGACAGCAATCAAAATTCAGCATGATAGAAAAGATGTTTGAGTGTGTTTGTGAATGTTATAAGTCTGCAACTCATGCTTCATCTTTAAGCTAAAGAAGATAGCTTCTGTTTGGGCTGTTCAATAGTGAGGAAGGTCCCTTGTTCTGCTTTAAGGTATCTTTCTACACCATTCTTTTGAGGCAAAAGAAGAGGTCTGCTGCCCTTTCTCTTTTCCTTTTGGTCAGCTCAGCTTTGGTTTGTCAGATCTGCACGACCTAATCCACAAGAACCAACTCCTTGCTTTCCTTGGACAACCAACTTTAGTGACTGATTGATATCAGCCAATGCAGTGGTGCTTCAGATGGGCAGCAACAGCTGACTGCCTACTAACTCAAAACTGAAGGGTTGGTGGTTGTGCTTTTTTGCTTTTTATTCTGATCATTTTCCATCACTTGCAAATTTTAGGCAGTAGCTACAAACTGCTTCTGATAAGTTTGATTCCCCAACAACAGTTGATATGCCACTACTCACCTTCACAGATGTATTCCATCTCCTATCCTATGTACTTGCAGACAAAACCCCACATAAATGCTCAGCTGTTGTGGGATTTCTTATGTTCTTGATCTTTGTAAGCTTGATGGAACTTGTGCAGACCTAGTTACTGTTCCTAGTAGAATTCATGCTTCAAATTAACATCTCATATGTGTAAGGCATAACAAAGATTGAAGTTATGCTTCAAAAGAAACATAAGGGCAACAGTCTTCTGATTGCACTCAATTACATACTACTTGATCTCATCATTTTCCCAAAGATGATCCTGGCTCCTTGAGTCAATGTTCATATGAAGGAGCTTCTTCATTGAAATCTGATATCTTGGTCTTTTCACCATCATTTTCTTTGTTTCATCAAACCTATATTGACCCCTTGTCAGTCAGCAGAGAGAGTTTCATGGAAATGGGGTGCCTGAATTGATGTCACATATACTTGACTTTTCTTTTCCTTTTTCTTTTTTTTGCATCACTTGTTGATATTTAAAGTTCATTACAGTATTAATCACTCAAGAAAGAACAACCTCTTTGTAGATTATTCTGCCCAATAATGATGGAGACAATCTACTAGTCAGTAGGCTGAAAAAAATAGCTGACCCAATAATGACTAGTCATTAAACCATATATTGTAAGATGGTTAGCTTGCAGATGTTTCAATGTTGATGCAGGCATCATCCAAGGCTTTGTTTCTATGAAAGCAAAACCAAAACAACACCAAAGCCTTTGAGGCCATCTTCTTCTCCATACCAAGAAAAGTAGGTGAAGGATGGTTCTGTTTCACTACATCTTACTTTCAGAAATCAAATCAGCCATGAGCACTACAAGCAACCCAATTTTAAAGGAACCTATGTCATTTTCCTTCAATAAACACAGTATGTGAGTCATCTGTCCTTTTCTGTCTGAAGAAATCTTTGTTTTTCTTTTTGGGCTTAAAAGGATCTGAGGTTATCATGCCACCAAACAAATTTGTGTGGATTCTCTAAAGATCTAGCCACAGATCACTTGAAATTTTGTTCCTAGACAGATTTCAAAGCTTAAATCTTCCTTATCTTGTACTTGAATACTTGATTGGATGCTGTATAAGCATCCTACATGTGCAAAGTCTTGTTTTAGAATGCAAGTTGTAGTTCTTATTGAAGTGTATTTAACTATTCATTAATTATTTATATTTGTTGAAACGAAATTAATTATTTTGGGAAGTATTTCATAAGTTAATGGAGAACACTAACTGATATCACAATTATCCTAATGACAACATTCTGATTACCTATATCACATTAATGTATTAATATATATATATATATATATATATACTAAGACACTTAATTTTTTTAATTGATATTAATTTAAATATATACTATAATTAAGATTCGTAAGGCAAAGGGTAAGTGTTGGATACGAGATTTAATATCAGAATCTTGTTGTAATCGAATAATACTTATTTTGATTTTTTTAATATTTTAAATTTGTCTAACATTTAAATATAATAGGAAGAAATATTAATTTGCTGCCAGAGAAATCTTGTTGGATACCATCCTTGATAGTTATGAAACATTTCAAATGAACATTAAATCATTGAGTCATTATCAAACATTAAAAGATTATATTTTCAAATAAGTGGAGTCAATGCTTTTATCTTTGTCGAGCTTCTATCGTCTCAGATCTCACTCCAAAACATGATAAGATTAAAAAAAAAAAGGATCAAGTTAGATTAGGTCGATTTTATCATTTTTGTCGTTCTGAGTTGACAATCAAAATTTACATCAATATAATAGTTTTAGAATGAGGGTTCGAAGAAAATATCATAAGAAAATCAAAATCAAGAGAAAAAAATTAAGGAAGAAACTCCTCTTCCAATCATCATCGTTATGACCTACCTCATATCAAGCTTATCTATTCCATCTACCAGAGCCTACCTTATATCAAGCTTATCTATTTATACCTATCTTTGAATGTAAGGCATTTACTCAAAACACAAACATAAAAAACATCTAATGTCTCTACCTAAGTTATAAGCACCAGAGTGTTTAATGTATGTTGATCAGATAAAATTTTGTTTTTGAGCATAATATGTCGATCTCATCAGTATGTTTGCATATTATGTCCATCCATGATATACCTATGGCTATTAGAACACATAATGTATCATAAATGAATAAATCATTTTATTTTACTCACCTTACATTAATCTAAAATAAAAAGTAAGAAAATCTCGATGCATCGGCTTTGATACCGTAAGTTTAAAATCAAAATTATTATTACTCATCAAATCATGACAGTATAACATGGAACATAGTCCTTAACCTTATATCCCTAAGAGAGATAATTACTAGTATTATATGATAGTAGTTATCCAATATCAGAAGCATCCCATATCTCTCATTTTTGACATCATACATACCTAATTTAAACTAAATATTGTATATTTTTGATATATGATACGGCGCCATATCCAATATAATAAATAAATAAATATTTATTTATGTATGTATATGTATATTTTCCATCCACGACAATTGTATGCAGTCTTCCTCATAATTTCGACAGCCACGGAATGCCTATGCGGTAATGAGACGTTGTCGGCCGGTTAACCAGTAATTACGAAACTGAATCACACAATTAACGATTAATTAATTACAACTTTATATTAACACGCATATTGTTCGCAAAGTCGAAGAAAATAAAATAACCCTTTGCCAGCCAGCTTTTAATGGATTACATTATCGCCTCCTTCCCCCACCCTTCTCTCTCTCTCTCTCTCTCTCTCTCTCTCTCTCGCTCGCTCGCTCGCTCGGGTCGCCTGTCTCCTTTTTGTAGTTTGGACTGCGACTAATTTCGCGAGGATCATGGGGGAATTTTTTTGATCTCCAGATCTTCGATTCCTCTCTCTCGCCTCTCTTTGTTTAGCGATTCCTCGATCCGATCCATGTGCTGCAGGAGCCGATCGTCGAGCGTCGCTCCGAGAACGGATTAGGGTTTGGATCCGTCGAGTCGGTGGAGATCTTGATCTTTTAGGGCTGAGGTTGTCTCTGGCGGCGGTAAAATTGGTGCAGATCGAGGCGGATGGCTGTTGTTTTGGTGTGGCCTTCACTGAAGAGTGGTAGTACTTCTTTGGTTGGATTCTTTTGATTACTGGGAGATTCGGTGGCCCGGTGCTTGCGGCTTCCGATTCCGTGGAATGTAGGTGTCTAGGATCTGAAATGGTCGGGGGTTTTAGACGCTGATCGAGTGAATTCTATAGTTTTCTTCTGGCGGTGGGTGTAGATATCTAGCGGATTAGATTGTTTCGGTTCCGTTTAATCTGTAGGAGAGAATTGCAAGGCAGATCGCTGGTAAGGAAGGGTCTTTTTTGTGTAAGCCTAGAGATATACAGGATTTGCTATTGCTTGATTCTTGCGGTAGTAGTTTTTGTTGGATTACATTCATTGATGGGGCACGTTATTGGCGGAAAGTTTAAGCTGGGCAAAAAGATTGGATGCGGATCTTTCGGAGAGCTTTATCTTGGTCTGTGTCGTCCTTTGTGATTGATTTTGATAGTGTCCAACTTGGACCTCTTTATGTCTTTGCTTCTGTTCCAATATGTTTGATGCTAAGCTTTTTTCCTCACTTGGTTATTTGATTCAGGTGTTAATATACAAAGTGGAGAGGAAGTAGCAATAAAGTTGGTACGTAGTTATCACTGACCAAAATTAGGTCAAATATTTTTGATTCCGACCTACTTATATGGGGAGTCATGCTTCCTCTGAATGTGAATTGGTTTGTGACTGTATTTAATGAAGCAAAACTTTAAATCTTTTTGCATGTGTAACCATTAACCTATCTAGGTGGCCGAAGATACATACAACAGGAACTAATTAAACGCACTTTTGCAACCAGTCATCATTATGGAGTAGTGCCATGTAACCAATGCTTGTATGGTTATCCAAACAACCTTATGCAAATGTTGAATTATTTGGTATATTACATAGAATGTCGCATGTGATTTTGCTTTTTTATGTATGAAATGCCAGTCTTATGCCTGTAGAGATCTATTCCTTTCTGAGATTTCATGTCTGTTAAATTCAAACGCTTCAGTATGTTTCTGCTTTTGATTTTTTTTTTTCTGATAGTTGTTTTCTGAAGTTTATCAAACATTCTGTTGTTTTACCCATTCATTTTGTTTGAATATGATTCTAATGATTTTTTTTTCCCTTGTCTTGTGTTTTAGTGCCTTTATTAACATTCTTTTTGTAGTACTGCAACAGAAAACTCATTGAACCTTAGCAGTTAATATTTGACACTGATATTTCAGGATTTGATGGATTCCAAGCATTTTCAACTCTTTGTAGCATTCTTTTTGTAGAACTGCAACAGAAAACTCATTGAACCTTGACATTTACTACATAATTCTGATATTTCAGGAGTCTGTGAAATCCAAGCACCCCCAACTTCATTATGAGTCAAAGTTGTATATGCTTCTTCAGGGAGGAAGTAAGTTAATCTATAAATATGTTGTTTCAGTTTAGTTGGCCAATGTTGCTGATGATTTTGGATTTTCTGTTTCAATAAAGCTGGAATTCCACACCTAAAGTGGTTTTGTGTGGAAGGAGATTACAATGTCATGGTCATCGATCTTCTCGGGCCTAGCCTTGAAGACTTGTTCAACTACTGTACTCGGAGGTTCTCACTGAAAACAGTGCTAATGCTTGCTGATCAGATGGTAATAAAATTATTTTCTTGGTTCTTTTTATCTAAGTTGTAATGCTTATAGATACAAATTTTGATATATTTGAAATGAGACTGTATTGCCCTATTTTCCAGAAGAATTGTCATAATACTTCTCCTTTGTGGTTTTTTTTAGATAAACCGAGTCGAGTATATGCACTCAAGGGGTTTTCTTCACCGTGACATAAAGCCAGATAACTTTCTTATGGGCCTTGGACGCAAGGCAAATCAGGTGGGTAGTCATATTATTTTCTGTCTTCAAATTTTTCACTACAGGCAAATGTAATTATCATTTCGTGCCAAGTGAAGTCGTATAATTATGATGAGCTTTCTGTCTGGACTTTGATTCATGCTATGATATTGTATTTTCCTTAGGGCACTGTTTTTGTTCATGCACCATTTTTGCATGCTTGATTGCAATGTTCTGCAGGCCTTGGCCCACCTTGCTAAATTGTAGGCTTTCACCATTTGACTTAACCCTATCTTTAGTGCCAAGGCCCTGACGAAGAGGATGCTTGCTACGCTTATCTAAACCAAGGATGATGTAGCCATGACGGAGCTGAAGTTGCTGTGCCTGGTGACAGATGATGATGGATTTGGCACATCTGGCATAACTACTCTGCAACATCGATCTTCTAATTGGATCGGCATTTTCTCTAGGATCAAAGTGGGACCTGATTGGATCAGTGTCTTTGGAATTGGATAGAAATTGCTAACAGCCCATTGAGATAATACAAGGAGATTTTAGAATGGGCTAGAAAACCATTTGTAACCAGTTAGAATTGGTGAAATCTGTCGGATGTAGACCTGTTTGAGTACAATTAATTACCAGATGAATCTTGTCTGATTCCTTGATACTTTGGGGGCATAATCTCTACCCATTAAATTCCTCTCTCTCCATTAGCTGATTGAACAAGGCTAGACATTGACATACACAGTATCTCTATTTGCATATAGGTTGGAAATGACCTTGCTGATTTACTAGTGGATCACAACAACCGAGCAGCAAGGATCACAGGATTGCTAGAAACAAGATTTCTATCATGGCCATCAAGGTGGGATTGTGTAATGGATGGTGATGGTGCAAACATATTAGAGGAATCTCTTATTTGGAGGGAATTTGGTCTAGAGGGACATTCTGTAGAAAATAATTGAGAGCTAGAGGAGGTCAGGTGTGAGAGCTTGGTGAGGCTTCGTGGCAGGGTTCATTACCTTGACTGATGCTTGTTGCATTGCCAGGGCAGTGGATGGAGGGATCATTTCTTGTAGGCTTCTTGTTGGAATCCACCAAGCAAACTGATCAGTCATATAGAGATGGAGAAATTAGAAATGAGAAGCAGAAGGTACTTTTTGCAATTCTCATGGCCCTTCTATGATTAAAAGATGGACCTTTTGCTGATTCTGCACGTGGCCTTGGACTTTAATCTATCCAGAACTTGTACTTCAATGTCCATATAATCTTAGAGGCCCATATCTCGTCTGAAGCCGGGAATATTAGTGACCTGGAGATTGGGCTGGATTTTATCTACTACAAGCCCCAGTTAACATATTTGATTCAGAATCGTTGTAATATATGGATGGTAAAGACATCGCTATATGTGTCCCGAGATATTATAAAGGCATTGTTGTTATTTACTGTACTCGCTCTTTTATATCCTTCTCCTCACTATAGGTTCTGATCTTTGTTTACGTTGATTGGATAATTAATTTGAGTAGCTACTTTTGGTATTTCTACTTCAAATCTCTTTGATTTGAGACATCGAACATACATGATCATATCTGAGGTCTGAGGCCATGGATGATAACTTTGCAGATGCCTTTTATAGACTTGACAATCAATGGTACGTTATGAATATATGCTGAAGCAACTTTATAGAATTTCTAACGAGTTACAAGGAGGCCGTAAGGCTCATGGATCACCTGATGGTAACTGCTTGCATTTGTTCATCATTCCTCTAACAAAAAAATTCCTAAACAAATTTTTGCTTAGATTGCCTTGAGTTTATTGTGCATGCTCTTTTTCTTTTCGTTTCTTGTTTCTTATCCTGACATTTAATCTTGATGTCAGGTTTACATCATTGACTATGGCCTTGCAAAGAAATATAGGGATCTTCAAACTCATACACACATACCATACAGGTACTGTATCTGCTTCTGAGATGCTAATCTTAAAATTTTCTTCTTTCTGCAAAAGTTTGAAATATTTGTTCAGATGCGCTTGTAGTTTCATATACATAACCATTGCTCAAGGAGTATTATAGGATTGATCACTACTAGCATTATTAATAGGCTTAAAAATAGTTTGCCAACCTTTCGCCTTTGTTTAAGAGTGATGAATCCCAATAATTTTAGTTCAAACATCCACACCTGCAAAAAGAAAAGAGTTTTAAATTGTCTATCTGCTAGTTCTGTGGGTTAAAATAAAATAATGAGTAACTTTTAGTATGAACATTGTAATTTGATGACTCTAACAAGATTAAGTTATTGATCTGCCCGTTTTGGAATGTTTATGGAATTTAGTTTGAAGAAAGTAATGCTCACTTCATGGACATTAGAAAATGAATGTGCACATCACACCCTGAGGAAATTTCACTTTTATTGCCAGAGAGATAGCATGTTTATATTTAAGGCAGTGTCCATGTCTTTTAAGGTTCTTTCTGCAAGCGGGGTTGGTGGTTAATGGCTGTAACTGTTTTCAAGAATCCTGATGTTGGTTCTTGTTTTGCTGTTATGTTTCTGTATTTTCTGTTGATGAACATTTTGATAATCTCTGCATTACGTCTTTATTAGCATATCCAGTCCTTTTTGAGTCCTTGATCAGTTATGTAATATATTGTTGCTTATTTGCAGGGAGAATAAGAACCTGACTGGAACAGCACGTTATGCAAGTGTTAATACACATCTTGGTGTTGGTGAATATCTCTCACTCTAGTAATTGACAAGTTACAAAATTATATATTATTTGGCTTCATTTTTCTCTTATTATGGTTACATGTCTATTAACAGAGCAAAGCCGGAGAGATGATTTAGAATCTCTTGGTTATGTACTTATGTATTTTCTAAGAGGAAGGTCAGGATTGATTCTTTTTATCTTTTTTTATTGAACAGTCAGTTGATACGACTATAATTATTTTGCATCCTCCAACTTTTGGCCTTTCTATCTTCAGCCTTCCATGGCAAGGACTAAAAGCTGGCAATAAAAAGCAGAAGTATGATAAAATTAGTGAAAAGAAAATGCTTACTCCTGTAGAGGTAATTCAGAATCTTCTTTCAAAGAACTTGATCAATGGAATCATTTTCTATTGCAACTTACTGGCATTATGAGAAAGGTGAATGAGAACTACTGGTAAAATCTTTGTTATGAATCAGGCACTTTGCAGATCATATCCATCAGAATTTATATCTTACTTCCACTATTGTCGTTCCTTGCGGTTTGAGGACAAGCCAGATTATTCTTACTTGAAGCGGCTATTTCGTGATCTATTTATTCGGGAAGGTTGGTCCAGATATTATTTTATGATGCTTTCTCTTTTACTTGCCGCTTTAGTTATTTTTCTTTCTAACAGCAGCAACTATTTTAATATTTGGTCCCCCTCAAGCTTCACATACAAATCTCTCTCATTATTGTGTAGGGTATCAGTTTGATTATGTTTTTGACTGGACTATTTTGAAGTATCCCCAGATTGGTGCTAATCCTCGAGTACGGGTATGGTCGGAATTCTAAATCACCATGACCTGTCTCATGTTTTTGTTAGTGTATTGCAATATTTTCTTTCTTCGCAGCAACCAAGTGGAAGAACAAATGGAACTATTGGTCAGTCTTTGGAAAGGGCAGAAGGAACTTCAGGTTTGTTTTTTTGCCTTTTGTGAAGGCTTAGTTCTCTACAATATACTAATTGATCTGCTGATTCATGTGTTCTTTCTTTTATCAGCGGGGCAAGAGGTTCGGGATAGGTTCTCAGGTGCGGTTGAGGCATTTGCCAGAAGGAATGCCTCAAATTATGGTCATCATGGTGAACACTCCAAACACAAAATATCGGATGATGCTCATATAACACACAAGGAAGCTGTAACTCTCTCTCTCTATCTCTCTCTGCGCTAATAAAAGCATGTGCTTGCTTTTGCTCTGTGTGTGCATGCATGTGCATTATGGTTGAGTGTGGTAAATCTTCTAATTTTCTGATGATTGTAATCACCCATGTTAGTTCATTCATTGGATTTTTGTAATTTGCTTTCATTGCTGTAACCATTGCTTCTGCTTTTAATTCTAGACGGAACCAGAGAAACTCCGTACAAAGTCTCGCAGTGGGAGCACATCCAAGAGGGCTATTTTCTCAAGCAGCCGGCCGAGTTCCTCCGTCGAGCCTAATGAGACTCAACACGGCAGAACAAGCAGGATATTTTCTAGTGGCAGCCGCCCTTCCAGTGCCCAAAGGGTGCATCAGCCGGTTGCTGATTCCAGGTCTTCATCCGTCTACAGATCCGCAGCTGTCCGAGGATCATCCCGGAACGAACCTCTTCTTCGAAGCTTGGAACACCTCTCTCTTGGTGCAGAAAAGAGAAAGTAAGACACGCCCATTATATGTTCCTCTTTCGAGGGCCATTATCCTGATTAACCCTTGTATCAGTATGTCATACCTAATCATGCTACAATATGGCCTGATGGGTCATAGGATGAGCTTCTAAGGCCTAACTTTTCAACTTTTACATTCAATAACCGAAGTCAAAAAGCTGCCTAAGACTTGCCATATCACCAATCTCAAACCTTCAAGAACTGCCATCGCCCGGCAACGCTTTTCACGGTGGTAATAATAACGTTGTATAGATCCATCTCTTTGGTGAAAACATTTCTTGGTGCTCTTCCTCTCGCCTGCCTGTCGTAGTCATTATTTTTCTGCTTTTTCTCTTGCTGTTTGTCGTGCATGTAAGTGGTGGAGGTGGGTACCTCGATTTGCTGGATACAAAGAATGAAGTTGTTATGCTCTTCAGCTCCTTTATTCGGAACTTTTTTTCTAAATATAATCTGATCAAACGGACTCGAGATCGAACTCATTGTTGCTATCATTGACTCATCACCCACCGTCCAAATCGTAACGAGCGGGAGGACCCACTTAAATGCGGTTCGGTGCACCTGATTACCACCCGCAAGGGGGGGGCGGGGGGCGAACCGGTTCAGCAGGTCCTCGAACAGACCGCTGTCGGTTGTAACGCCGTTGGTGCCGCGCGGCGGTGATGCGCCGTCCTACAATATGAAATGACGGGGGCGCCCCTCGGTCTGTCGCCCCCCTCCCCCCTTCGTGAGCCACACGACCACCCGCCCGAGATATAGAAGCCGGGAGAAAAGTGACAAAAAGAAGCCACGGAAACATCCTCTCGGCACGACTCCCTCGTCTCCACCGAACTCTCCAAATTGCGAGAAGACGAGGCGCTCCCTCCCCGCGGCGGTATCCGTGCTGTTTCTTTATGATCCCCTTCTTCTCTTCTCTTCCTCCGTCAATTAGATCTGTGCAGCGTGCTCTCAAATTCCGACTGCTTGCCCTTCGATCGCGACATGAATGTCAGAATTTTTGTGTCATCGGAAGCAACGATGGAGATTTTTCTCGGTTCTTGAGACGGCGTTCGAGTTGCTTTTCCGTTTTCTTCCTCTGGTTCCTGCTAATTGGGCTTTGGACGCGAAGTGGAGCTGGGCTTCAGCTCTGCTTCTAGGGTTTCTGGTCTGGTTCTTGGAGGCTCGGTTTGATTCGATTGGTCTGGCGACATGGCGCTGTTCAAAAGGTTCTTCTACAGGAAGCCGCCCGATGGGCTTCTGGAAATCTCAGAGAGGGTCTACGGTACGTTGTGAATTCTACCTTTTCCGAGAGGACATCCTAGTTTTTTTATTTTTTTATTTTTCATGTGTGATTCGTGATGTTGGTGTTGCAAGAATTTTTTTTTTTCTGCTACTGTTTTCTAACCAAAGATTGGATCATTTTTGGCAAAAATATTCTTATTTGTCTCGATATCTTTGCGTTTATGTTCCGGGTGAATATTTACTTGTTCTTTCGGGTTTTAACGATTTAGAGATGAGCTGATTCAGCAAAGAGCTGCCATTTGGTTAGTACAGTAGCACGTTTCTCTTCTCACCGAGGAACAAAAAAAAAAGAAAAAAAAAAAGAAAAAATCAAAAGATGGTTACTCCAGGTGCACGACGAAACACTTACCTGGCCAAGTGCCTCATTTGCAATACCTGCACATGTTTTTAAGTTAGTTTTCTCAATATTTGGTGGTGTTTGAGTCAATAGTTTATACTGAATTAAACATGCATTGAGATATATTTTTTCTATCTTCATGCAAAAAGGGAATTCAAATTTGGATGAGATGTATTTTTTAATATTTTCTGATTCAAATATGAACAATGCTAATGGTCTGAAAAAGGTACCAGGAACTAGGACCAGTGGATACTCCATCTCAAGTTTTGAGCAGTTATACCATACTTGGGGGCTAGCCTAGGGAAATTTCACTTTAGTTTAAGAAAAGGACATCTTTGTTCAATTACAAAGCCAACAAACAGATCGGAGTTAAAAAATGTGAGCTAGCCTGGTGGAACTGACTAAACTAGTGCAACTGCTATTAAAATGAACATGTCAAGTATGGTCGGTCAGTCAGCAGTCTGATTGGCTTCTTGCAAAGCATGCAAAACTTTATGATCAGGAATTCTGCCTAGTACATATTTACACAGAAATTCTATGCAACTTTTAGCATGCCATTGTGGAGAATCAGGTTTTATGATTTTCTATGCAGTTATGAAGCATAAGCCTGTGATCTTCTTTGATGATGTTCTCTAGTTGAAATATCTATTGCTTATGTTCAGGAAAAGATCTACTTTTGCTATCTTATGCTTCTAGAGTTACTTTTTCGCTCCTCTCAATGAGAGACTTTCTGTTTTCAGTGTTTGATCAATGCTTCTCGACTGACGCCTTGAGGGAAGATGACTATAAAGAATGTATGGGAGGCATTGTGATGCAAATGCGAAGTCATTTTCCTGATGCCTCATTCATGATCTTTAATTTCTGGGATGGAGAGAGTGAAAGCCAATTAGCCAGCATTCTCTCTGAGTTTGATATGACTGTGATAGATTATCCCCGTCATTATGAAGGATGTCCTTTGCTTAAAATGGAGATGGTCCACCATATGTTGAGGTCATGCGAGAGTTGGCTTTGTTTAGGACAGCAGAACCTCGTACTGATGCACTGCGAGCGAGGTGGCTGGCCGGTTATGGCATTCATGTTAGCGGCACTTTTGATATACCTAAGACAGTATACAGGTGAGCAGAGAACGCTGGACATGATTTACAAGCAGGCCCCCCGTGAACTTTTAGAGTTCTTTTCACCCCTGAATCCTGTCCCTTCTCAATTGAGATACTTGCAGTATGTTTCAAGGAGTGTTGCCTCAGAGTGGCCTCCACTTGACAGAGCACTGACCTTGGATTGTGTCATTCTCAGAATGATACCAATATTTGATTCAGAAGGTGGATGCAGACCAATATTTCGAATTTATGGACAAGATCCTTTTTTTGTATCTGAGAATACTACAAAAGTTTTGTTTTCAACGCCAAAGAAAAGCAAATTGGTCCGACATTATAAACAGGTAACTACATGATTTGGATTGTCACATGTAATTTACTTCTAGAAATAGGGCAAATGGGCATGTATAATATCTGTTTCAGACTGCCACAGTATTTTTGCAGTGACCTAATCTGAGCTTCTTGGATCCATCAATCATAAAGTGAATTATCTTAGGACAAACTTTTGCATGCTAAATCCCCATTATTTCATCTGACCATATGCCAAATGGTGACCGGTAACTTTTTATTTCCACATAACTCATTATGACATTCTACAGTAGAACTCCCTTCATTATTTTGCATGTAGGTGGGATTTTGTATACTTCATAAAGGACAGAAATAGATCTGTTTCTTTGTCTCTTCTTAACCATAAATTTGCTTAAAGAGTTGTACTGATGTTCTTTAAATGAATGCAGGCAGATTGTGAATTAGTTAAAATTGACATAGGTTGCCACATTCAAGGAGATGTTGTAATTGAGTGCATTAGCTTGGATGAAGATCAAGAACGAGAAGAGATGATGTTTAGAGTTGTTTTCAATACAGCTTTCATCAGGTCAAATATTTTGATGCTGAGTCGTGATCAGATTGACATTCTGTGGGATGCTAAGGATCGATTCCCAAAGGATTTCAGAGCTGAGGTGTGTATCTTTTTTTCCCATTCGGGATTTTCTTTATTTTACATGTAATGCTCTTCTGATTCACAATCTTCTTGCTCAAAGGTTCTTCTTTCTGAGATGGATACAGCATCATCACTTATGACTTTGGAATTGGCCCATATGGAAGATAAAGATGGTCTTCCTATAGAAGCATTTGCTAAGGTGCATGAGATTTTTAGCCATTTGGATTGGCTAGAAGGGAAGGGCGATTCTACACTTTATATTCTTCAACAGATAACATCCTCTAATTCACTGGAAGATAAATTGTCTGAAGTTTCTCATCAAAAAATGCAATCCTGTAATATGTCACAGTCATCTAGCTCTCACATAGTCATGAAGAACCTGCAGGATGATCAAGGAACTGATCATGGTGCATCTGAGACTGCTGAAGTGAAGGTGATGCCATTATCTTTGTCACAACTGTCAAGTACTCCTGCTCCTAGATTACTTGAATCTTCTGAATGCATTAAGTTATCAGTGGATCCACCATCATCACTACCATCATCTTTGCCATTTTCAAGGATTGTTGCTCCTGGGTTACCTGAGCCTGATGAACACATTATACAATCAGCAGTGCTCCAAACACCGCCACCGCCACCGCCACCGCCACCACCACCACCACCACCTCCACTTTTGTCATCACCTCTGCCATCAGAATCAATGCCATCTTCAAAGCTACCATCATCTTCTTCTCCTCCTCCTTCTATTGCTGTTGCTGCTACCACTAGCAGCATTTCACCACCGCCACCGCCACTGCCACCACCACCACCAAAGTTGGCCTCACAGGGATCAATTCGAATATTATCACCTCCACCACCGCCGCCACCTCCACAGCCATTTACAGTTCCAACATCATCAGTAATGTCAAAATCTCCTTTACTACCATCAATGCAACCTCCAGCTTCTGTGTTAGCAAGTTCTGTACCCTCTGATAAAAGTAATAAGATACCAACCGCAGCCTCTCAGTCTAGTCGCACTCAGTCTGTACCCCCACCACCTACTCCTACTATAAGCCCATTTAATAGTGTATCATCAGGTATCAAGGGAAGGAACTTGACACGTTCCAGAAGTCCCAGAAGTTTGTATACCTCCCAATCATCATCATCAAGAAGGATGTCTCTCAAGCCGCTGCACTGGTCTAAAGTAACAAGAGCGATGTCTGGAAGTTTATGGGCTGACACACAGATATCCGATGAACTCCCAAAGTAATCTATCCCTGTACTAGTGAACTTTATGTTTATTATAAATCTATCACCTTCTTTATATTTTCTATTTACCTATTGTAGGACTCCAGAGATTGACATGTCGGAACTTGAGAGTCTTTTCTCTGCACAATTGCCAAATTCGGATTCTTCCAGTGTAGCTGAAAAATCAAAACGCCGTTCCTCACTTAGTGGAAGATCTGATAAAGTTCATTTGGTATTCACCTCTATGCATATTTTGCTAGGCATTAGTAACTTTTCTCCTTGTTTGTGATATTGGTTTTTTTGACTTGTTCGTCTTAGCTTTTATTAGCTTTTGATGCTCTATTTCTCAGGGTCCATTAGTCAAAACTTGTTTGTCTCCATTTACAAAACTTGACAATTTAAATATCACAGGTTCTGTTATCGAATAAATCTTTATAAAAGTTACAGCAATCAAGTGAGACGAGGTATCACTACACAATCTGACCACCATGGTTAAAAACTATTATACATGGGAGTTAAGACTCTTTAAGATTTATGATGCCTAGTTTATGGATTGAATGTTTCTTAAACTTTCAGAAAAAGGGCAGCCCAGTAAAGAGGTTCCTGCCAATGCAGGGTATGGTGAAGCTGTGAGGGGCAACATGTGTAGCTTTGCCTCTGTTATAATAGTCTCGGTGATTGAGTCGCTGTATCCTTTTTACGCTTTTACATCACAAATCCAGTAAAAAAATAGACCATTGCCACATTTGATTTTCTCCAATCGTGGCATAAGTTTACATTTTTAAGTATTAGTTTACATTTAAGGTTGATGAATAAGAGGCAGAAGTTAATGATGACTTTTAATTTAAAATATCATGATGGTATTTTTTTATCTGTAATGAAATTATTCAAATTTGTAATTGTTATAGGATGTAATCTTAAAATATTTGACATTGTTCTTGTTATAATACATGATTCATAAGAAATTATAAAAACTTGTAATTGTCTTAGGATGTAATCTTAAAATATCTGACATTGTTCTTGTGATGATACATGATTCATAATCTCGCTTCTTGCAGATTGCTCTTAGGAGAGCTAATAACTGTGAAATAATGCTCACAAAGGTTACAGTGCCAATACCTGATTTAATGGTAGGTTCATAAAATATTGTAATTTGTCCAATTTATTTTCGGGTCGTGGAATATCCTAACTAGGATTTGATCTAGTTTACTTATATAATCCTCAGACTCTAAAGATCATCAAGAAGATGCATTTTGTGTTAGATCATTTTTCCTAATATGTTGTCCCATAAAAACGTTTTTTCCTTCACAATTTTTGATTTCACTTCCTCATAACTGTTTCTTGGATCTGTTTCAGAGTTCAGTTCTTGCCCTTGATGAGTCTATTTTAGATGCAGATCAGGTTGATAATCTCATAAAGTTCTGTCCAACAAAAGAGGAAATAGAACTACTACAGGTAATCATATACTGTCAATACTTCTGTTATAACCACCTTTCCTATTGCTTTCTTGCCTGATGACACCATTGTTTGATTTCTCTTTCTTTTTATGTTTAATATATCTCATATGAATTTTCAGGGTTATAAAGGTGATAAAGAAAGCCTAGGCAAATGTGAACAGGTCAGTCAATTCTTGCTTTTTATTTATGTTCTTGGTTCTGGGTAACTATGACAGTAAACCAGAGATAAGCATGTCAAGTTTTGTTTGTTTGATATCTTCATGTGTAAATATCGAAGATATAATGTATAATCAAAAGAAGAGGAAGAAGTTAAAAAATAAATTATAGTTATGGTATTGATTTCAGTAATATAGCAAACTTAGAAAAAACTAACAACTGTTGAAGTTTTCATGCTACCCTTTGTTTTCAGAATACAAGTCGCTTTTTACAATTGATGACATCATCCCAATTGACAAGGTCACACACAGTAATTTTTTTAAAAAAAGTGTAAGATGATCTCTTCAAACTGATGATATAGTTTGTTTAGCACATACGGAAATTCCCCAATGTTTTTTTTTTTTAATTCTCTATGAACTACCCATTGTCTTTTATCCTCCGATTTTGTTCCATGACCAAGTAGAACTATCTTTGTAATCTCTCGTGCTATTGGTTCTCTTAGAATTTGGAAAACCAACTGTGGTTGGATTCCATATCTCAGATCCAATATGTGATTGGATTCTTGTATTCTGTTGATCATTTTCTTTTAGATTTTTAGATGGTGACCTTGATGTACTGATTTTGTTGCTCCATTTTATGTTGATTCCATAAAATTTTCGTTACCGTAGGGAGAAACAAAGAAGTTTTTCTATCAAGGTGCATCTTGGACTGCATTTTTTATAATCTGAGAATATGAGGGAAAGATAATTGTTGTATATTTTCTTGAACTATATAAGATTTCATGATGCAAGTCCCTACAAATGATATTGGATACAAATGGTGAACATTGTATAATTTAATAATTTGTATATGGATCACCTGTTCTTATGGTCCCAATGGGTTCTTTTGTAATCTTTCTTAATAAAATATAGTTTTTCTGAGACCTGGCCGGTTTGTCCCAAACAAGGTCCACCTGTTGATGTTCGACACTTTTATAGATCAATGCTTTACTTTGCTATGCTATAATGCATGATGAACTGTGAAAAGACAACCGTATTAATATATTTTGGTTGTTTAGATGTATCATAATTGTTGCTCATATCTATTTGGTGGGTTTTGTTTGATCTATCAAATAACTAACTGCATGATGGATCCACTACCAGTTCTTTCTAGAGTTGATGAAAGTACCAAGAGTGGACTGCAAACTGAGAGTCTTCTCCTTCAAGCTACAATTTAGCTCTCAGGTATAATGATAAAGTATGTTCTGTTTTATGTGTGCAAATATTATGCAAAAGATATTACTTCCACTGGTGTAATGATCATTACAGGTTGCTGATTTAAGAAGCAATTTGAACACTGTAAACTCTGTATCTGAAGAGGTAAAAGTTTAGATGGAGACAATATCCATAAGTGATGTTTTATAAATTCAGATACTGAGTTCGCACTGCTTCATGATCAGATACGAAGTTCTGTGAAGCTGAAGAAAATCATGCAGACAATTCTTTCATTGGGAAATGCATTAAACCAGGGAACCGCCAGAGGTAAGTTGGACTGCTAAATATCATATTTGATATATTCATTTTTCTGATGTATAAATGGACTACAAACAGAATTTACTTACTATGCTGATGAGGCATGTCTCACACTGAACACCTGCACACCCACACCCACACACATATAAAGGGAGATAAAAGATCAAACAAGGGGGCTTGCTTCCAGCTTGAGGATGCGATACGTTTTGACACCAGAAACCCAAAACAATAAAATAAATGATTGACAAGGGATGCTTATTTGGGTCAGCTTGATAACTGAGGTGGTTAGTGGTGGGGCAATGATGCCATGTGTCAAATTCCATGTCTACCAGGAATTCAACCTTGTTAAAATATATGTAAAACCAACAATATTGCATTCTTCTTATCTTTAGATCAATTATAGCATGTGGTTCTTTAATGTAATGATATATTCTGCTGCTACTTTCTAAGGTAATAAAGGAACTGATCAGCACTTAATATCAGCTTCTCTCTAAGTTAATTAGAAGAACTGAATGTATCATTGGGCCTGTAGTCAAAGTTTAAAGCTTTTAGTATCGGCTTCTCTTTAATAACTTTTCTTTCTTTCTGTTAATTTCCAACCATCAATGATTTTTGTTATGCAAGTCTCCAAGTTCATAGCTGCTGTCAATGTGAAATATATCAAGGCCTCCAGAAAATTAAGAAACTTTACCAAGCATTTCATTGGTCTTATTAAACCTCCTTAAAGAAAACAAATATGAGAACGACCTTTGTTTAACATATCACAATTTCATCTGGTAAGATTTCTCGTGTATAAATTGGGACCCAAAAGTTATTTGTCTTGAAGATCTTAAAGAGGATTAAATTCACTTGCTTCTTTCTCATTCATTGAGAACATTATTTGTCTCAGTTATATTTTTGGTTTTGGACTTCTACGTCTGGACTATTGTAATAATTGATGTGCAAAATCGTTTCAGTTTTTTGAGTATTCATGCATGTGACTTCTTTTATTGGCTGAAATCCACTGATATCATCTATTGCACCATGTTTGGGAAAACTGACCTTGGAGAGTCTATGCTACCTTTTCAGGTTCTGCCATTGGATTTAGGTTGGACAGCCTCCTGAAACTTTCTGACATTCGTGCTCGCAACAATAAGATGACTCTTATGCATTACTTATGCAAGGTGTCTTATTCTCTTATTTCATGGCAATCTGCTTCTTTAGCCAATTCTTTTAATTAAAATAATTTTGTGACAACCTTACAAGGATTTCAAATCTTTGTATGCCTTCCTTCAAACATATGCATATATATGGTAATGGTTTATTTTAGTGTGTAATCAACTCGGGGAAGCTTGATTAGCATAAATTTCACAGTTAATTGTATTCACTAGCATACAAACAGCATGTGATTGAAATGGAATAAAGTTGGATATTGAGGAACACAACCTGATCTGGAACCACACCATGAATGAGGTGGGAGATATTATGTTAAAGAAATATATAATTTTCATTACAAAGCTGTTTCCAAACACAATCTTATCTACTTTTTATTATTAATATTTCTACATATTCCAAACCCAATATCTCTAGTCAAATCGATCATCCGATGCGATGGTGGCTCCATACTGTTGGACTTGATCAATACTTGTTGGGTTGATGAGTTTGCTGCACATGCTGTCAGAGTCTTCGGCAAACTCTAGTTATTGTATAGTGTATACAACTGAATTTGAATTCTTTGTGATACATTGGGTTGCAAGATAAAATGGTTGTTGTTGTTGCTATTTTTGCTATTCTTGTACTTCAGTCTCACGAGGAGTAATTATCTTGTTTCTCATGTGTTGATGATGCCAAACTTCATTTGGTATCAGTCTAATTGCTCCATGTTGTGTCGAGTTGTTTAGTAGCTTAGAGGTTTTGTCCTGTCATGTCATGTCATGTCTGTTGATAGTCACAAAGACATCATCTAATTTTGGTCACATGTTCCTTGATGCTTGCTTAGATCATGTCTTTAAGAAGCTCACAGGTTCCTGTCAGAGCATACTATTCTTTCATACAAACTGGTTCTTGAGTCATTTTCAGAGGAGTATCACTGCTGCATATATATGCACTTCATTTATCATATTTAGTTAGGTTTCACAGCTTGTGGATGTAAACTTGGAAAAATAAAATCATAAATAGGTCAATATGTTGAAATCTTGAACTGTGAAGGTCTTTCTTAGTGTACTAGGTAGTTAATTGAACTCGTGTAAGGGGATAGGAAAAGATCCTGTAGTTGGTTGCTAGTGGCAGTGTAACTGATATAAGGTTGAAGAAGAACGGGTTAGAAGCAATTGGCTACAAGGATTTCTAATAGACCAAGGGACAGAATCTGGTTGCCCTCTTGTTAGCTCCAGAGACCATCGTCAGTGACTATTAATTATGTAAAAGGTTACTTTTAACTTAAAATGCTACATATTAAGCATTTCTACTTTGTCTAGTGCCACAACTTAATCTGAATGGATAATCTAGGGCACTTGCTTTTCAAGTTACATTCTTATGAACTTAAATCTGAGAAGCTTTTGATAGTTGATTCTGTTCTATAACCTGCAGCAGACATTCTCTAATATTCATCTTATTTCATATCTAGGTTCTTGCAGATAAACTTCCAGGAGTTCTTGATTTTCACAACGATCTTGTTAGATTAGAAGCTGCATCGAAGGTACTATAGCATGCATTTACTTATTACCTTCTGTTTTACAATAAATTTGAAGTTGGCTACAAACTGGTTGAATCTATACAGATACAGCTAAAGATTCTGGCAGAGGAAATGCAAGCTATAAGTAAAGGATTGGAGAAAGTCGAAAAAGAATTAACATCTTCTGACAGTGATGGTCCTGTATCTGAAACATTTTGTAAGGTAGTCATTTGCATAATATAGTAAATTTTATTAATCTGTTAAGATTTAATATCCTGTCTCTTCATTTGCTGCTTTTAGGAATTTTCATTGTTGTTCAGTGCAAAAGGTCTTGTACCGGTATAGAGAAACCAACATTTTACTCAAAAAGTTGCATGGAAATAATTCTCAGTAGATGTAATGTGTTCTTTAGATGGAAGCTTAAAGCAAAAGGCCACAATAAACAGCCTGGTAGAACTAAATTTCTGAAAGGATCGAATTTTATTTGCTTCATGTGTCTTCCATGCTAAATGCATTGACGTCATTTTAAGATATCTGACAGTTGGAATTCCACTTGGGCTAGTTTTTGCCTAACACTATGGAACCATCTAAAATTTGGATTCTTCGACTTTTCTTATATTAAACATCCTTAATGTTAATTTAGCATCACTTTCCTTTTCGGTTGAATGCCTCGGACATTAAATTTTGTTCTTTTCCTCTTTGGGAGTCACCAGCATTTGCACATCAATGGCTACTGGTACTCAAGAACATTTTATCTTCTAGAATAAAGTGAGGCCCACTGTAAAATCAAATGGATTAAATCATTACATGATTAAGTTCATATCATCAACAGGAGTAGCTTTTGTTATGTTTAAACTTTTTACTCTTTCTTGAAAACTTTCCACTGACTAATTATAACATTACATTTTAGACTTTGAAGGAGTTTCTTGTTGTTGCTGAAGCTGATGTGAGATCCTTAACTTCACTTTATTCTGGAGTGGTATGTTCTCAAGGTGATATTATGCTTGTCTAATATGAAACATATATCTAATGTTTGATAAAGCGTTGATTGGTTTACAGGGTAGAAGTGCAGACATGTTGGCTCGATATTTTGGTGAAGATCCTGCACATTGTCCATTTGAGCAAGGTAACCTTCATTTCAGCTTCACAATGATGAATTCTTCAAAAGTTCTAGCTTATTATCTGTTTGGACTTTGTATGTTTAATTATTGCTTCTTCTTTTTTTCAGTTCATTTAGAATCTGTGGTTTCTAGTAAATTTGAAGACTATCTAATAAGAGTAATCTGTTTTCAATATTGCAGTTGTCTCTACACTTCTTGATTTTACTAGAATGTTTGAACGTGCGCATGAGGAGAACTGCAAACAGCTAGAGCTGGAGAGAAAGAAGGCCCAGAAAGAAGCAGAGCATGAAAAACTTAGGCATGCTATACATAAGAAAGGACCAGATCACTTAATGCAGTCTCGCAATGTTAGTGGCCACACCAGGTGATAAAAATCCGGGTCCTTGCAGTCTAGTAACCAACAAAGACAGCATATCCTTCCGGGAGACGATAACTTCTGCTCCATAGGTGGCAGGCATCGTTGACCATACAAGTGAAGGGATGTCTCGAGTGTGAGGTCCCGTTGAGTATGAAAACTCATCACGGTAACATGTTTATTACTGTTTGGGCCAACAGTAGTCGTTAACTAGGTAATTATGACTTTACATTTTTTATATTTACTAGCATTTTTATACTACTTAACAATTGATTAAGACTTGCCTCCCACTTTTATCATGCAGCTTATTCTTTACAAGGCATGCAATAGCACAAGAGAATACCCTCAGGGGGGATCTTGTAGCATGTATACTCATGTCAAGAATCTTGTGATTTGCTGTAAAGCCGGGCAGATAATTTTGCATTCGTTTCAGGAGTTTTATTAATGTACATACAATGTGTATACAATTGTTTTTCCCCTTACCAGGGCAAGATGTTCCATAGTCTGATTGATGTAAACTATCAGGTTTTTTTTTTTTTTTGCCTTTTGTATTCTTATCAAACTTGTCTCCTTGTACTCAAAGCACCTCAAACTCATAAATTACTCTTTGCTTTAACTCATCTTACAAGCTAATCAAATGAGTGGATTAGATCTAACCATGCAGCTCTTTCACTAGAATTTTGCAGATCATCGGCATTCTGTAGGAACCAAAGGTGCAAATCAACCTAGCAGGCTACAATCATGGAGGGGAACGAATCGGCTTCGACCATCAAGGTTTCAGGTAGCAACAATACCTCTCCACAGTTATTTCTCTGCTAATGGTAGTAGTGCTCATGATTTTGTACCCATATTTGTAGTCCAATCTGTTGACATGGTTCCAAAGTCTTGAGCTGAGACCCCATATGCTCTTTATATAATTTTTTGGAGAAACATTTGTGTGATTTTAATTTTCCAAAGGCTATGCTCTCTGCAGCTGATTGATTTGCCACAGATCATAAAATAAACATTCAATTCAATGAGCTGAATGTTTCTCAGTTGCAAGCTGGTGGGTACTTGCAGAAGCTGTAGTGATGGCCCATCATGCAATTATCAATTTGCTAGAACATGTCATTTTATTTTTATGGATAGCATAATACATTTTTAGCTTTCACTTGATGAAATTTTGTGGAATGAAATGTTTCTTTCAATCAACAATTGAGAATGACACATGTCACGTATCTTTCAAAGGCGAGACGATTGATTGCAAACTTAGCTTTCTACTTTCTCATCTTTACATGTCAACATCGTGGCGCAATACGTAAATTGGACGGTTCCTCTTCTTCTTCTTCTTCTTCTTCTTCTTCTTCGTGTGAGATCATAGGAGGAAGGAAGCGGTGTCAATCCGATCGGTTCCTCGGCATATTTATAATGGTACACTTACAAAGCTCGTTTCGGATCTTTATATCTAATTCCCATATGAAATTAAATTGAAGTTTCTCACTAGGAAGAGTCAAATTATAGAGAAAGAAAATAACATTATAATAAAAATTCAAATTATTAGAATTTCCATTCAAGAATGAATCCATCTCCCCTCCCATTCTCATTCACAAACACAGCCATTAAGGTTAAGGACTAATCCCCCTCAATACTAACAGGCTGCCACTAATAATCCTTCCTTGTCAAAGAACACCAAAAAGAGGCAATAAAAATACAAATAGAATACCACTAACAATCCTTCCTTGTCAAAGAACACCAAAAAGAGACAATAAAAATTAAAAATATAATAAAAACTAAGACCACTAACAATCCTTCCTTGTCAAAGAACACCAAAAAGAGACAATAAAAATTAAAAATATAATAAAAACTAAGACCACTAACAATCCTTCCTTGTCAAAGAACACCAAAAAGAGAATAATAAAAATAAAATAGAATAAAAACTAGGACTAGTGATCACAAGCGGAATAGAGGAAGCCTTTGATCGGCTCACCGCCCGGTGTCATGACGCGGTTCACCGTTGCCGACGGAGGTTGCGTCGTCGCCCTGCCATGTCCAAACTATGTCCTTCAGCCCCGGGCGGACGTCCTCCTCGCAGAACTTGGTGTACTCCAAGGTGTCGCCGGTAGACTTGGAGAACTCCACCACCGCCACCCCCGCCGCCGCCTCGAACACCTCCGCCGTCACTGCCAGCCGCCCCTTCCTCCCCTCCGTCTTCCCCTCCATCCTCACTTTGTACGACTTGGCCCGCGCCACCCCGAACCCGAGGGCCCGCCCCACCCTCTCCAACCGCTCCACGATCTCCGCCGCCGGTGACCGCGACGTGAACACCGTCCCCGCCTTCCGCCGGTTCTCGAACAGGCTCGACAGGTCGGACCCCGAGGACATGGAGGTGATGAGCTCGAACGCGTTGTAGAATCTCGGCGTCGCTGGTTTCACCTCCTCTTCCTCTGGCTGCAGCGGCAGCGGAGGGATTTGGATGGGTGGTGGGCGGCAAGATCCCTTTTTGAACCAGGGGAGCTGCATTATGGCTGGCATGGAGATGCGCTTCTCGGGGTTGACGACGAGGAGGCGGGAGACGAGGCGGCGCGCTTCGCCAGAGAACCACGGCGGGATCTGGTACTCCGCCTTGAATACCTTGCGGTACATCCGCATCAAGCTCGCGTCTTGGAAGGGGAGGAATCCGGCGAGGAGGACGAAGAGAATGACGCCGCAGGACCAGAAGTCGGCCTTGGCGCCGTCGTAGCCGCGGCGGCTGAGGACCTCCGGCGCAACGTAGGCCGGGGTGCCGCACTGGGTGTGGAGGAGGCCGTCGTGGCGGAGCTGCTCCGGGAGCGCGGAGAGGCCGAAGTCGGAGACCTTGAGGTCGCCGTGCTCATCGAGGAGGAGGTTCTCGGGCTTGAGGTCCCGGTGGGAGACGCCGCGGCTGTGGCAGAAG